GGGAGCCCGATGCGGGACTCGATCCCGGGACTCCAGGATCATGACCTGAGCCGAAGGCAGTCGCCCAACCAACTGAGCCACCCAGGCGCCCCCTCATTCTTTTTAACAACTGCCTAGCATTCCATTGAATACATGTATCATAATGTAGTCTGTCTTTTATTCCATGGAAGAGATGTATCACATTTCAATCTATCTTCTATTGAAGGTCATCTAGGTTGTTTCCATATTTTTACCATAATAAATATAATTTCAGGGATTTATGATAAAAACAAATTAATTTTTAAACTTACTATCCTCAAGTTAATGCAAAGCAATGTTGAATGTTCTTTCTTGTCTTTCAAAATCATTTTATCCTTTGCAAAACTCCTATGATTTAATTTTCACTGCTTGATGTCAAGATTAAATGAAACTAATTATAAGAAATGACCACTGGGGGAAAAGTCTTGAAATATGTCAATAGATATATGACATATTTCAATAGACACACGTTCTTTGAAATTACAGTTAGATTTTTAAGACATGATCCTGATAAACCACTTTATAAAAACAGTAGCATAATGGACAGAGAATGAGTTAAAATGTGTTTGAAATTCAATTCTATTCAGAAATATTCTGCATGATATTTTATGTCTTAGGGTTCTCAACTGTGGAGAATAATAATAATATCTACTTTTATTTGTGTCTGTGATGAATAAATAAGGGATATCCCCTGAAATAAAGAATATATTAAATAGACTTAATTCTGCTTTTCTAATAGGTATTTGACAAATGCAAAAAATGGTGTTGAATTCTGTTGGGTTAGGTGTGTGTGTGTGACTCTGTGTGTGGATATTTGTATACCCCTCAAAAATTACAATATAAAATACTTCTATTAATGTATCCAATGTATCCTTGGTGAAGGGACTACAAATTTAAAATTGGGAAACTAAAATCTGTCTGGAGAGGTTTTGTACCCAATATCCGGGTCAGTATCTGGATAAGTCAAATAACTGCTATGACCATTTGCTGTCATAACTATGAAATCCAATGCTGGATTGTCATTAAATACGTATATCAATGAGTGGTTTTCAAAGTATAATCCCCATACTAGCAGTGTCATCTGGAAAATTGTTGGAAATGCAATTAAGTCCCATCCCACACCTATCAAATCAGAAACTTTAGAACTGAACACAGCAGTTTGAGTCCTCTGGGTGATTCTGATGCATGCTCAAGGTGGAGAAAACACTAGTGTTATCTTTAAAACATCCATACTAAAATGTGGAATGTTACTCATTTTAGTGCTTATAACTACAAACAAAATACACCCAAACAGCACATTTTTAATGTATCAAGTGAAAATATCAATATTATAGAGAACTCAAAATAGTGACATACATTTTATGTTGCCAAATTCCCTCCAGGTTAGTCTGTTACCTGTGCTGCCTTTTACCCAGGTTTCGGAAATGACACTCTTGCTAAGAGTTTTCAGATGCTCCTCAGGTAGCTGACAGGTCAAATCTGGAATTGTTTTCAGCATTTTCCACACAGTTTTGTGTTCATGCAATGTCCTATAAATGGGCCTTAAAACAACATCAAAAAGATTGCAAATTGAGAGAACACAGTTTAACTACAAAGAAACCAAAAATCTTGATTTTTGAGCTTTCAAATTTGCATTTCTTTTTTATTTAAGGTTTGCTTAAGGATACCTATGATGATATTCAATTTTTGTCTTGGTAATCAACTTTAGAATTTATTCTCCTTTCAGCACTAAGATGCACATCCATGAAACTTTAAACTTCAGGAAATTACATAGTGCTGTTACCTTCTTTTTATAGAATACTCCGTGCTTCAATTGTAAGAATGTATCTTTTATTATTGTCATTATAATTATAAAGACCTCTTTCATATAGTAAAAAGATTGATTTTTTTTTATCCAGTGTATACTTTTAATCTTTTCCAAGTACTATTTTTTTCTAAGATTTTTATTTATTTATTTGACAGAGAGAGAGACAGCAAGAGAGGGAACAGAACAGGGGGAGTGGGAGTGGGAGAAACAGGCTTCCTGCTGAGCAGGGAGCCCGATGCGGGGCTCAATTCCAGGACCCTGGGACCATGACCTGAGCCGAAGGCAGACGCTTAATGACTGAGCCACCCAGGCACCCCAATCCTTTCCAAGTACTATTAAAGTTAGATCAAATGAAGCTACAACTTAACACTGATAAATATTTTAACTGAAAAAATGCACATGTAATTTTAAATAAAACAATCATCATATGATGGATGATATTTATTTGCTTTAATCATTAAATTCACTATTTAATATATATAATACCATAATAAAGATACAAAATTCATGTTGATCCTAAGTTCTTAAGAGACTAACTTATCATACCACTGCTAAATGCTCAGTATTTTTTAAGCAACTTTTAAAAATCTATTGTGAGAAATCAGTTTAGCAGCAGAAAGGGAATTTGGGATACACATAAATGCAGGTTTGCCAGAAATAGTTCCAGTTTAGATGTAATGTCCAGTTGAGCCACCTGGTATGCATGTGATTGTGTGTGCATGTTTACTAGATGACAATATATATTGTGTTTTTTGTTGTGGGTTTTAGCAAAAAAGAAGTTGGAAAAATACTAATGTCGTAGTCTTAAGAAATAGTCTTGAGAGAACTGGCTTCCTAGTTAACATCTTTTAAAAGTGTGTACTTTTAGATGCAGTAATAAAGATGAGTGTTATTAAATAGCATGATATCATAACCAAAACCTAAAATATGTATCATTGATTTAGCAATGAAACAGGAGGTGGTAAAAAAAATAATATCACAGACCAAAAAAAATGGCAAAACATTTGATCTATTAGTTGCCTGCAATAATTTGGAAGGCATACCAAGTACCTAGGAAACCCATAGTTTCACAGAAAGTAGTTGGAAAGAGCCAGAAAGTTACTGTGTTTTGTTTGCTTAATGTTACTTCTTTGTTGCAATGTATTATCAGGTGCCTAAAATTGGACAGTTTTCAAGTAAAAACAGGAAGCAATAGAGAAAATCTAGAAATGTGGGGCATAAATGGAAAAGCCAAGTGCTTCTTTATTCCATGCAACAACAAAAATAATGAAAGAAATTTGACTATCAAAGGTCTATTACATTTTCTCAAATAAAGGCACTTAACCCTGTGCCAAAGGCCTAATTAGAAGCTTTATCTTCTCAACCAAGCCTATTGTTACAGAATTTAAGGTGGCCTACATTAAGAGAGAGGCAGGCACAGGGAGAAGAAATAAACAAGGATTTAAAAACAATGTCTAGAACAGAAACTTGGATTTGGTTACTGGTATGCAGAAGATATTGGAGACAGATCATAAACGCTGACAAATGATCAGCACAGTCCACAGTTTTGAAATTCCCATGAAACTTTTCATTTGATTTTAACATACACCCCTGTGTTTACCAACCTCAAAATGATAAATCAAGACATTCATGTCTGAAAACTTGGCCTTCATTTCCTCTCTTTAAACATGGCCTTCCTTCACTTCTCTCTCAATTTCTATCTTTATCATTTGTCAGGAATTTTTTTTTATGTTACATTAATCACCATACATTGCATCATTAGTTTTTGATGTAGTGTTCCATGATTCATTGTTTGCGTATAACACCCAGTGCTCCATTCAGTACGTGCCCTCTTTAATACCCATCTCCTGGTATTCCTGGGTTAGCCAGGAATGTTTTTTACATACATCATACCCACTCTTTCCTTACCTACTCTATATACAAAAGCTATTAGGAAAGAAATTAGATTAACAAAAAGAAAAAAAAAATCATACATTGAGAGATGTTAGGAAAACTATAATGCCCAAACTATTATTTGTAAAAAGGATTTTTTTTATTAATAGTGTCATTAGTATCATTAGGAGTTATCAGACCACATACAATGGTGTGAAAGAAAATGTTATTCTCTTGAATTTTCATTTAGCCACCTCTATGTCTATTTCTAAATCCATTAAACTTGGGTAGGACATTTGCCAATAAAACAAGAGTAAATCCGAGCAGTCAAGTGAAAATAAGGGGATAAAACAAGGGGAATATGTTGTAAGAAGTAATATTCAAATTGAGGATCAGAGTAGTTAATTTCCTCAAAGACACATAGCTAAGAGTAATAAAAAAGAAACAGAAATACTAAAAATTGCTGAGGGATGAGCAAATCATGTTGCTAACACACACCACACACGAACACACAGGTGCAGAAACACAAAAAACCCTAAATTTAAACAGAATAATTCCAGACACTCAAAATTTCTAAATCCACTATTTCTAAATCCACTAATCACAAAAAGCAAAATGTTAGTATATTCTAAGTATTTAGAAACATATTATTTGGAAACAAAATAATTTCAAGATTTTCCTTTCTACTTCTTTTTTTCCTGGTGATTACATCAAACCTAAGAGCTCACAGAGTCACGACAAGTTATGGAGCTGGCTTCTGATGACAAGTATCTGTGTGCACTGGCATCTGATGAGTGGAAACTATCATGCACAACCATTGGCATCCATGTTGGCATCCACTGAATTCCTAAATGTTTCCAGTTGTAGGTATACCTCATTTAGATTTTTGTTAAGCTCTTGTAAACCTGTTGACTTTTTCACTCTTGGCTAATTCTTCACATTTCTTGTGGTAAGGGGAGAGTTTGATTGCTTCAGTGAATATCTCTGAGGCAATGGGACATCGGTTAGGGCTCTCTTAAGGCCTTTACATCCTAATACTAGTTCACTCACATTTACTCAGATGTGCAAATGAAATGGAGCTTCTGCATTTTTCTACAACTGTAGTCTAACAGTCCCCCATCTACTAGATTAGAGTTAAAACAAAAAATCCTTGCATTTTCCTCTTAACAATATTACATGTCTTCTTATACAGGCTCCATTTAACTTAAATGTTGAGGATACATGGAGTTTAGCTTCCTATACTGGCTGATTTATATGGTTTTTCTTCAAGGACTTAAAGACTGTTTAGTACAAATATTTAGTCTTCCAGAGTTACTCTAGTCACAATTCTTTTTCCCAAGAGGTGATGCAAGTATATCCGGGGATTGACTGTGTCCTTCTGGCATTGGCTAGAGGAACAGTTGGTCTGCATGTGCTGAAAATTTTGCAACAGAAATATAATCAGCTTATATTACAGAACACATAAACACAGCCATTAAACTTGGGTAGGATGTTTGCCAATAAAACAAGAGTAAATCCGAGCAGTCAAGTGAAAATAAGGGGATAAAACAAGGGGAATATATTGTAAGAAGTAATATTTAAATTGAGGATCAGAGTAGTTAATTTCCTCAAAGACACATAGCTAATAATAATAAAAAAGAAACAGAAATACTAAAAATTGCTGAGCGATGAGCAAATCATGCTGCTAACACACACCACACACGAACACACAGGTGCAGAAACACAAAAAACCCTAAATTTAAACAGAATAATTCCAGACACTCAAAATAAGTTAATGAGTTCTGTAATAGAAAAAAAAAAACAACACAATTTTCTCATTTAAAACGGAGTCAAATATTACATGTGGAAAGGTACACATGATAGCTTTAGGTAATATATTAAAAGTTGAAAATAAGTAGTCAATAATAGAGAAATAGTTTTCGACTGCATGTTTTCAAGAAGATATCATCTAGGTTATTACAGAATAAGCAATATAATGCAGAATCCTATGTAGAAAGATAAACCTGCAGTATTGGTGACATGTTATTAAGGCATACATTGCATGATTGCAAATATATCAGAAATACTCTAGGGGCAAGATTATAACTGAATCTTAATGATCTGATTTTATAATTGAAAAATATCATAATTAAAATATTCACTGCAGACATTCCATTTTATGAGCTAGAACTTAATGATTCAGAAATTACTATCGTAAGATTGTTTCCTTTACATAACTTGATTTTAAAGTGTCAACTTATCTTGTCAGTTATTGCCATCACCTGGTTTCCTCTTCCTTTAAAACACAAGATAACTGTACGCTAGGCCATACCTGAAATAATAATTATCAAGTATATATTATTTCATCCATTAAACTATCATTCTAAATTGTTGCATATAGTTTGGCAAAAGAACTGCATGGTCTATTAATTATTTATTTATTTTCACTTAATTTGAAATACTTAAGCTGTTTAACTTAAAGAATTATCTGACTATCTAGGTATTAGAAATTCCGTTAAGACAGCTTCCTATTCAGGGTGCCTGGGTGGCTCAGTCAGTCTCTTGATTTTGGCTCAGGTCATGATCTCAGGGTCATGAGATGGAGCCCAGCGTCAGGCTCCACACTGGGCATGGAGCCTGCTTAAAATTCTCTCTCTTCCTCTCCCTCGGCTTCCACAAGCCCCAGCCCCCAACCCTGTCTTCACTGCCCAGCTCACACGTGCTCTCTCTCCCTAAAAAAAAAAAAAAAAAGAAAAGAAAGAAAGAAAAGAAAAGAAAAGAAAAAAAAGACAGCTTCCTATTCTTGTGTGGTCAAATAGAAAAGAAAAACAAACAAAAAAACCAGGAGTAATTCTGATTGCAAGACCTTATTCAGGAAGGGTT